AGCAATAGACCTTTGGCGAAGAGCGCCCTTTTCCTGCCCTTGAACAATGCCAGCAGTAGTTCTGGAGTGGATATCGCTCTTTTCCTGCCCTTGGACTGTGCCAGCAGAATCCTGCGGCGGATAGCGCACTTTTCCAGCCCCTGGACAATGCCAGCAGTATTCCTAAGGTGGATGGCGCCCTTTTCCTGCCCCTGGACACTGCCAGCAGTAGTCCTGGGGCAGATAGCACCATTTTCTTGCACCTGGACGGTGCCAGCAGTTGTCCTGGGGCGGATAGAGCCTTTTTCCTGCCCTTGGATGACACCAGCAGTAGTCCTGGGGCAGATAGCGCCTTTTTCCTGCCTCTGGACAATGCAGGCAGTTGACCTGGCGTAGATAGCGCCCTTTTCCAGTGTTTGGACAATACCAGCAGTAGTCCTGGGGCGGATAGCGCCCTTTTCCTGCCCCTGGACAAAGCCAGCAGTAGACCTGGCGTAGATAGCGCCCTTTTCCTGCCCCCGGACGATGTTTGCGGTGCTATCCGTCCTGGGGCGGTTAGCGCACTTTTCCTGCCCCTGGACAATGCCAGCAGTAGTCCTGGGGTGGATAGCACGATTTTCCTTCCTCTTGACGGGGCCGTCAACAGTCATGCGGCGGATAGCACCCTTTTCCAGCACCTGGACAAAAACCAGCAGTAGTCCTAAGGTAGATAGCGCCCCTTTCCTGTCCTTGGGCAATGTCAGCTGTAGTCTTGGAGCGGATAGCACTATTTTCCTGCACCTGGACGGCGCCAGCAGAAGTTCTGTGGCGGATAGAGCCCTTTTCCTGCCCTTGGATGACACCTGCAGTAGTCCTGGGGCGGATAGCGCCCTTTTCCTGCCCCTGGACGGCACCAGCAGTAGTCCTGAGACGGATAGTGCCCTTTTCCTGCCCCTGGAAGGCGTTAGCAGGTATCCTGGGGCGGATAGAGCTCTTTTCATGCCCTTGGACGATGCCAGCAGTAGTCCAGGGGCAGATAGCGGCCTTTTTCAGCCCCTGGACAATGCCAGCAGTATTCCTGGGGCAGATAGCGCCCGTTGCTGCTCCTGGACGATGCCAGCAGTATTCCTAAGGTGGATAGCGCACTGTTCCAGCCCCTAGACAATGCCAGCAGTAGTCCTGTGGCGGATAGCGCCCTTTTCCTGCCCCTGGAAGGTTAGCAGTAGTCCTGGGGCGGATAGAGCCCTTTTCATGCCCTTGGACGATGCCAAAAAAAAAAAAAAAAAAAAAAAAAAAAAAAAAAAAAAAAAAAAAAAAAAAAAAAAAAAAAAAAAAAAAAAAAAAAAAAAAAAAAAAAAAAAAAAAAAAAAAAAAAAAAAAAAAAAAAAAAAAAAAAAAAAAAAAAAAAAAAAAAAAAAAAAAAAAAAAAAAAAAAAAAAAAAAAAAAAAAAAAAAAAAAAAAAAAAAAAAAAAAAAAAAAAAAAAAAAAAAAAAAAAAAAAAAAAAAAAAAAAAAAAAAAAAAAAAAAAAAAAAAAAAAAAAAAAAAAAAAAAAAAAAAAAAAAAAAAAAAAAAAAAAAAAAAAAAAAAAAAAAAAAAAAAAAAAAAAAAAAAAAAAAAAAAAAAAAAAAAAAAAAAAAAAAAAAAAAAAAAAAAAAAAAAAAAAAAAAAAAAAAAAAAAAAAAAAAAAAAAAAAAAAAAAAAAAAAAAAAAAAAAAAAAAAAAAAAAAAAAAAAAAAAAAAAAAAAAAAAAAAAAAAAAAAAAAAAAAAAAAAAAAAAAAAAAAAAAAAAAAAAAAAAAAAAAAAAAAAAAAAAAAAAAAAAAAAAAAAAAAAAAAAAAAAAAAAAAAAAAAAAAAAAAAAAAAAAAAAAAAAAAAAAAAAAAAAAAAAAAAAAAAAAAAAAAAAAAAAAAAAAAAAAAAAAAAAAAAAAAAAAAAAAAAAAAAAAAAAAAAAAAAAAAAAAAAAAAAAAAAAAAAAAAAAAAAAAAAAAAAAAAAAAAAAAAAAAAAAAAAAAAAAAAAAAAAAAAAAAAAAAAAAAAAAAAAAAAAAAAAAAAAAAAAAAAAAAAAAAAAAAAAAAAAAAAAAAAAAAAAAAAAAAAAAAAAAAAAAAAAAAAAAAAAAAAAAAAAAAAAAAAAAAAAAAAAAAAAAAAAAAAAAAAAAAAAAAAAAAAAAAAAAAAAAAAAAAAAAAAAAAAAAAAAAAAAAAAAAAAAAAAAAAAAAAAAAAAAAAAAAAAAAAAAAAAAAAAAAAAAAAAAAAAAAAAAAAAAAAAAAAAAAAAAAAAAAAAAAAAAAAAAAAAAAAAAAAAAAAAAAAAAAAAAAAAAAAAAAAAAAAAAAAAAAAAAAAAAAAAAAAAAAAAAAAAAAAAAAAAAAAAAAAAAAAAAAAAAAAAAAAAAAAAAAAAAAAAAAAAAAAAAAAAAAAAAAAAAAAAAAAAAAAAAAAAAAAAAAAAAAAAAAAAAAAAAAAAAAAAAAAAAAAAAAAAAAAAAAAAAAAAAAAAAAAAAAAAAAAAAAAAAAAAAAAAAAAAAAAAAAAAAAAAAAAAAAAAAAAAAAAAAAAAAAAAAAAAAAAAAAAAAAAAAAAAAAAAAAAAAAAAAAAAAAAAAAAAAAAAAAAAAAAAAAAAAAAAAAAAAAAAAAAAAAAAAAAAAAAAAAAAAAAAAAAAAAAAAAAAAAAAAAAAAAAAAAAAAAAAAAAAAAAAAAAAAAAAAAAAAAAAAAAAAAAAAAAAAAAAAAAAAAAAAAAAAAAAAAAAAAAAAAAAAAAAAAAAAAAAAAAAAATTTTTTTTTTTTTTTTTTTTTTTTTTTTTTTTTTTTTTTTTTTTTTTTTTTTTTTTTTTTTTTTTTTTTTTTTTTTTTTTTTTTTTTTTTTTTTTTTTTTTTTTTTTTTTTTTTTTTTTTTTTTTTTTTTTTTTTTTTTTTTTTTTTTTTTTTTTTTTTTTTTTTTTTTTTTTTTTTTTTTTTTTTTTTTTTTTTTTTTTTTTTTTTTTTTTTTTTTTTTTTTTTTTTTTTTTTTTTTTTTTTTTTTTTTTTTTTTTTTTTTTTTTTTTTTTTTTTTTTTTTTTTTTTTTTTTTTTTTTTTTTTTTTTTTTTTTTTTTTTTTTTTTTTTTTTTTTTTTTTTTTTTTTTTTTTTTTTTTTTTTTTTTTTTTTTTTTTTTTTTTTTTTTTTTTTTTTTTTTTTTTTTTTTTTTTTTTTTTTTTTTTTTTTTTTTTTTTTTTTTTTTTTTTTTTTTTTTTTTTTTTTTTTTTTTTTTTTTTTTTTTTTTTTTTTTTTTTTTTTTTTTTTTTTTTTTTTTTTTTTTTTTTTTTTTTTTTTTTTTTTTTTTTTTTTTTTTTTTTTTTTTTTTTTTTTTTTTTTTTTTTTTTTTTTTTTTTTTTTTTTTTTTTTTTTTTTTTTTTTTTTTTTTTTTTTTTTTTTTTTTTTTTTTTTTTTTTTTTTTTTTTTTTTTTTTTTTTTTTTTTTTTTTTTTTTTTTTTTTTTTTTTTTTTTTTTTTTTTTTTTTTTTTTTTTTTTTTTTTTTTTTTTTTTTTTTTTTTTTTTTTTTTTTTTTTTTTTTTTTTTTTTTTTTTTTTTTTTTTTTTTTTTTTTTTTTTTTTTTTTTTTTTTTTTTTTTTTTTTTTTTTTTTTTTTTTTTTTTTTTTTTTTTTTTTTTTTTTTTTTTTTTTTTTTTTTTTTTTTTTTTTTTTTTTTTTTTTTTTTTTTTTTTTTTTTTTTTTTTTTTTTTTTTTTTTTTTTTTTTTTTTTTTTTTTTTTTTTTTTTTTTTTTTTTTTTTTTTTTTTTTTTTTTTTTTTTTTTTTTTTTTTTTTTTTTTTTTTTTTTTTTTTTTTTTTTTTTTTTTTTTTTTTTTTTTTTTTTTTTTTTTTTTTTTTTTTTTTTTTTTTTTTTTTTTTTTTTTTTTTTTTTTTTTTTTTTTTTTTTTTTTTTTTTTTTTTTTTTTTTTTTTTTTTTTTTTTTTTTTTTTTTTTTTTTTTTTTTTTTTTTTTTTTTTTTTTTTTTTTTTTTTTTTTTTTTTTTTTTTTTTTTTTTTTTTTTTTTTTTTTTTTTTTTTTTTTTTTTTTTTTTTTTTTTTTTTTTTTTTTTTTTTTTTTTTTTTTTTTTTTTTTTTTTTTTTTTTTTTTTTTTTTTTTTTTTTTTTTTTTTTTTTTTTTTTTTTTTTTTTTTTTTTTTTTTTTTTTTTTTTTTTTTTTTTTTTTTTTTTTTTTTTTTTTTTTTTTTTTTTTTTTTTTTTTTTTTTTTTTTTTTTTTTTTTTTTTTTTTTTTTTTTTTTTTTTTTTTTTTTTTTTTTTTTTTTTTTTTTTTTTTTTTTTTTTTTTTTTTTTTTTTTTTTTTTTTTTTTTTTTTTTTTTTTTTTTTTTTTTTTTTTTTTTTTTTTTTTTTTTTTTTTTTTTTTTTTTTTTTTTTTTTTTTTTTTTTTTTTTTTTTTTTTTTTTTTTTTTTTTTTTTTTTTTTTTTTTTTTTTTTTTTTTTTTTTTTTTTTTTTTTTTTTTTTTTTTTTTTTTTTTTTTTTTTTTTTTTTTTTTTTTTTTTTTTTTTTTTTTTTTTTTTTTTTTTTTTTTTTTTTTTTTTTTTTTTTTTTTTTTTTTTTTTTTTTTTTTTTTTTTTTTTTTTTTTTTTTTTTTTTTTTTTTTTTTTTTTTTTTTTTTTTTTTTTTTTTTTTTTTTTTTTTTTTTTTTTTTTTTTTTTTTTTTTTTTTTTTTTTTTTTTTTTTTTTTTTTTTTTTTTTTTTTTTTTTTTTTTTTTTTTTTTTTTTTTTTTTTTTTTTTTTTTTTTCTTTTCCTGCCCCTGAACGGCGCTAGCAGTAGTCCTGGGGTGGAAAACGCCCTTTTCCAGCCCCTGGACAATGCCAGCAGAAGTCCTGGGCGAATAACACCCTTTTCCTGCCCCTGAACGGCGCCAGCAGTAATCTTGGAGCGGATTGAGCCTTTTCCTGTCCTTTGATGACGCCAGCAGTAGTCCTAGGGCGGATAGCACCCTTTTCCTTCCCCTGGACGGCGCCAGCAGTAGTCCTGGGGCGGACAGCGCCCTTTCCTAGGCCCTGGACAATGCCAGCTGTAGTCCAGGGGCAGATAGTGCCCCTTTTCCTGCCCCTGGACAGCGCCAGCAGTAGTTCTTGGGTGGAAAACGCCCTTTTCCAGCCCCTGGACAATGCCAGCAGTAGTCCTGGGGCGGACAGCACCCTTTTCCTGCCCCTGAGCGGCACCAGCAGTAGTCCTGGGGCGGATAGCGCCATTCTCCTGCCCCTGGAAGGCGCCAGCAGTAGTCCTGGGGCGGATAGCGCCCTTTTCCTGCCCCTGGAAGGCGCCAGCTGTAATTTTGGGGCGGATAGAGCCCTTTTAATGCCCTTGGACGATGCCAGCAGTAGTCCAGAGGCAGATAGCACCCATTTCCTACCCCTGGACAATGCCAGCAGTAGTCCTGGGGCAGATAGCGCCCTTTTCCTGCTCCTGGACGATGCCAGCAGTAGCCCTGGGGCGGATAGAGCTCTTTTCCTGTTCTTGGACGATGCCACCAGTAGTCCTGGGGCGGATAGCGCTCTTTTCCTGCCCCTGGAATGCGCCAGGAGTAGTCCAGGGGCTGATAGCGCCCTTTACCTGCCCCTGTACAATGCCAGCAGTAGTCCTGGGGCAGATAGCGCCCTTTTCCTGCACCTAGACTGCGCCAGCAATAGTCCTGGGGCGGATAGCGCCCTTTTCCTGTCCTTGATCAATGCCAGCAGTGGTTCTGGGGCGGATAGCGCCCATTTCCTTCCCCTGGATAATGCCAGCAGTAGTCCTGGAGTTTATATCGCCCTTTTCCTGCCCTGGACGGCGCCAGCAGTAGTGTTGGGGCGGATAGCGCCCTTTTCCAGCCCTTGGACAATGCCAGCAGTAGTCCTGGGGCGGATAGCGCCCTACTCCTGCCCCTGGACGGCGCCAGCAGTAGTCCTGGGGCGGATAGCGCCCTTTTCCAGCAATTGGATAATGCCAGCAGTAGTCCTGGGGCGGATAGCGCCCTACTTCTGCCCCTGGACTGCGACAGCAGTAATCCTGGGGTGGATAGAGCCCTTTTCCAGCACTTGGATGACGCCAGCAGTGATCCTGGGGCGGATAGCGCCCCTTTTCCTGCCCCTGGACTGCGCCAGCAGTAGTCCTGGGGCAGATAGCGCCCCTTTTCCTGCCCCTGGACGGCGCCAGCAGTAGTCCTGGGGTCGGAAACCCCCTTTCCAACCCCTGGACAATGCCAGCAGAAGTCCTGGGGCGGATAGCACCCTTTTCCTGCCCCTGAACGGCGCCTGCAGTAATCCTGGGGCGGATAGAGCCCTTTTCCTGCCCTTTGATGACGCCAGCAGTAGTCCTGGGGCGGATAGCACCCTTTTCCTTCCCCAGGACGGCACCAGCAGTATTCCTGGGGCGGATAGCGCCCTTTTCCTGCCCCTGGACAATGCCCGAAATAGTCCTGGGGCGGATAACGCTCTTTTACAGCCCCTGGACGGCGCCAACAGTAGACCTGGGGCAGATAGCACCATTGTCCTGTCTTTGGACAATGCCAGCAGTAGGCCTGGGGTGGATAGCACCATTTCCCTGTCCCAGAGCGGCACCAGCAGTAGTCCTGGGGCGGATAGCGCTCTTTTCCTGCCCCTGGAAGGCGCCAGCAGTAATTCTGGGGTGGATAGAGCTCTTTTAATGCCCTTGGACGATGCCAGCAATAGTCCAGAGGCAGATATCACCCATTTCCTACCCCTGGACAATGCCAGCAGTGGTCCTGGGGCAGATAGCGCCCTTTTCCTGCTCCTGGACGATGCCAGCAGTAGTTCTGCGGCGGATAGAGCTCTTTTCCTGTCCTTGGACGATGCCGCCAGTAGTCCTGGGGCGGATTGTGCTCTTTTCCTTCCCCTGGAATGCGCCAGGAGTAGTCCAGGGGCTGATAGCGCCTTTAACCTGCCCCTGTACAATGCCAGCAGTAGTCCTGGGGCAGATAGCGCCCTTTTCCTACACCTGGACTGCGCCAGCAATAGTCCTGGGGCTGATAGCGCCCTTTTCCTGCCCTTGATCAATGCCAGCAGTAGTTCTGGGGCGGATAGCGCCCTTTTCCTTCCCCTGATAATGTCCTGGGGTTAATATCGCCATTTTCCTGCCCTGGACGGCGCCAGCAGTAGTGCTGGGGCAGATTGCGCCCTTTTCCAGCCCTTGGACAATGCCAGCAGTAGTCCTGGGGAGGATAGCGCCCTACTCCTGCCCCTGGACTTCGCCAGCAGTAATCCTGGGGCGGACTAAGCGGCACCAGCAGTAGTCCTGGGGCAGATAGCGCTTTTTTCCTGCCCCTGGAAGGCGCCAGCAGTAGTCATAGAGCAGATAGCGCCCTTTTCCTGCACCTGGAAGGCGCCAGCAGTAATTCTGGGGCGGATAGAGCCCTTTTAATGCCCTTGGACTATGCCAGCAATAGTCCAGGGGCAGATAGCACCCATTTTCTACCCCTGGACAATGCCAGCAGTAGTCCTGGGGCAGATAGCGCCCTTTTCCTGCTCCTGGACGATGCCAGCAGTAGTCCTGGGACGGATAGAGCTCTTTTCCTGTCCTTGGACGATGCCACCAGTAGTCCTGGGGCGGATAGCGCTCTTTTCCTGCCCCTGGAATGCGCCAGGAGTAGTCCAGGGGCTGATAGCGCCATTTACCTGCCCCTGTACAATGCCAGCAGTAGTCCTGGGGCGGATAGCGCCCTTTTCCTTCCCCTGGATAATGCCAGCAGTAGTCCTGGGGTTTATATCGCTTTTTTCTTGCCCTGGACGGCGCCAGCAGTAGTGCTAGGGTGGATAGCGCCCTTTTCCAGCCCTTGGACAATGCCAGGAGTAGTCCAGGGGCTGATAGCGCCATTTACCTGCCCCTGTACAATGCCAGCAGTAGTCCTGGGGCGGATAGCGCCCTTTTCCTGCCCTTGGACAATGCCAGCAGTAGTCCTGAAGCAGATAGCTTCCATTTCCTGCACCTGGACGGCTCCAGCAATAGACCTTTGGCGAAGAGCGCCCTTTTCCTGCCCTTGAACAATGCCAGCAGTAGTTCTGGAGTGGATATCGCTCTTTTCCTGCCCTTGGACTGTGCCAGCAGAATCCTGCGGCGGATAGCGCACTTTTCCAGCCCCTGGACAATGCCAGCAGTATTCCTAAGGTGGATGGCGCCCTTTTCCTGCCCCTGGACACTGCCAGCAGTAGTCCTGGGGCAGATAGCACCATTTTCTTGCACCTGGACGGTGCCAGCAGTTGTCCTGGGGCGGATAGAGCCTTTTTCCTGCCCTTGGATGACACCAGCAGTAGTCCTGGGGCAGATAGCGCCTTTTTCCTGCCTCTGGACAATGCAGGCAGTTGACCTGGCGTAGATAGCGCCCTTTTCCAGTGTTTGGACAATACCAGCAGTAGTCCTGGGGCGGATAGCGCCCTTTTCCTGCCCCTGGACAAAGCCAGCAGTAGACCTGGCGTAGATAGCGCCCTTTTCCTGCCCCCGGACGATGTTTGCGGTGCTATCCGTCCTGGGGCGGTTAGCGCACTTTTCCTGCCCCTGGACAATGCCAGCAGTAGTCCTGGGGTGGATAGCACGATTTTCCTTCCTCTTGACGGGGCCGTCAACAGTCATGCGGCGGATAGCACCCTTTTCCAGCACCTGGACAAAAACCAGCAGTAGTCCTAAGGTAGATAGCGCCCCTTTCCTGTCCTTGGGCAATGTCAGCTGTAGTCATGGAGCGGATAGCACTATTTTCCTGCACCTGGACGGCGCCAGCAGAAGTTCTGTGGCGGATAGAGCCCTTTTCCTGCCCTTGGATGACACCTGCAGTAGTCCTGGGGCGGATAGCGCCCTTTTCCTGCCCCTGGACGGCACCAGCAGTAGTCCTGAGACGGATAGTGCCCTTTTCCTGCCCCTGGAAGGCGTTAGCAGGTATCCTGGGGCGGATAGAGCTCTTTTCATGCCCTTGGACGATGCCAGCAGTAGTCCAGGGGCAGATAGCGGCCTTTTTCAGCCCCTGGACAATGCCAGCAGTATTCCTGGGGCAGATAGCGATCGTTGCTGCTCCTGGACGATGCCAGCTGTATTCCTAAGGTGGATAGCGCACTGTTCCAGCCCCTAGACAATGCCAGCAGTAGTCCTGTGGCGGATAGCGCCCTTTTCCTGCCCCTGGAAGGCTCCAGCAGTAGTCCGGGGGCGAATAGCGCCCTTGTCTAGCTCCTGGACAATGCCAGCAGTAGTTCTGTGGCGGATAGCGCCATTTTCCTGCCCCTGGACTGCGCCAGCAGTAGTTCTGGGGTAGATAGCGCCCTTTTCCTGCCCCTGGACGGCGCCAGCAGTAGTCCTGGGGCAGAAAGCGCCCTTTTCCTGCCCCTGGAATGCGCTGGCAGTAATCCTGGGGCGGATAGAGATTTTTTCATGCACTTGGGCGATGCCAGCAGTAGTCCAAGGGCAGATAACGCCTTTTTCCTGCCTCTGGACAATGCCAGCAGAAGTCCTAGGGCAGATAGCGCCCTCTTCCTGCTCCTGGATGGTGTCAGCAGTAGTCCTAAGGTGGATAGCGCCCTTTTTTTGCCCCTGAACAATGCCAGAAGTCGTTTTGGGGCGGATAGCACCGCTTTCCTGCCCCTGGACGGCGCCAGCAAAAATTTTGTGGCGGATATCGCCCTTTTCCTGCCCTTGGACGGGACCAGCAGGAGTCCTGGGGTGGAAAACGCCCTTTTCCTGCCTTTGGACAATGCAAGCAGTATTTCTAAGGTGGATAGCACCCTTTTTCCTCCTCTGGACAATGCCAGCAGTAGTTCTGGGGCGGATAGCATCATTTTCCTGCCCCTGGACGGTGCCAGCAGTAGTCCTGGGGCAGATAGCGCCATTTTCTAGGCCCTGGACAATGCCAGCAGTAGTCCAGGGGCAGATAGTTCCCCTTTTCCTGCCCCTGGACGGCGCCAGCAGTGGTCCTGGGGTAGAAAACGCCCTTTTCCAGCTTCTGGACAATGCCAGCAGTAGTCCGGGGCGGATAGCACCCTTTTCCTGCCCCTGAACGGCGCCAGCACTAATCCTGGGGCGGATAGAGCCCTTTTCCTGCCCTTTGATGATGCCAGCAGTAGTCCTGGGGCGAAGAGCACACTTTTCCTGTCCATGGACGGCACCAGCAGTATTCCTGGGACGGATAGCGCCCTTTCCTGCCCTTGGACGATGCCACTAGTAGTCCAAGGGCGGATAGCACCCTTTTCCTGCACCTGGTCGGCACCAGCAATAGTCGTGTGGCGGAGAGCGCCCTTTTCCTCCCTCTGAACAATGCCAGCAGTAGATGTGGGGCGGATAGCGCCCTTTTCCGGCGCCTGAACAATACCAGCAGTAGTCCTGGGTTGGATATCGCCTTTTTCCAGCCCCTGGACAATGCCAGCAGTTGTTCTGGGGCGGATAGCACCATTTATCTGCACCTGGACGGCGCCAGCAGTGGTCCAGGGGCTGATAGCGCCCTTTTCCTGCCCCTGAACGGCGCTAGCAGTAGTCCTGGGGTGGAAAACGCCCTTTTCCAGCCCCTGGACAATGCCAGCAGAAGTCCTGGGCGAATAACACCCTTTTCCTGCCCCTGAACGGCGCCAGCAGTAATCTTGGAGCGGATTGAGCCTTTTCCTGTCCTTTGATGACGCCAGCAGTAGTCCTAGGGCGGATAGCACACTTTTCCTTCCCCTGGACGGCGCCAGCAGTAGTCCTGGGGCGGACAGCGCCCTTTCCTAGGCCCTGGACAATGCCAGCTGTAGTCCAGGGGCAGATAGTGCCCCTTTTCCTGCCCCTGGACAGCGCCAGCAGTAGTTCTTGGGTGGAAAACGCCCTTTTCCAGCCCCTGGACAATGCCAGCAGTAGTCCTGGGGCGGACAGCACCCTTTTCCTGCCCCTGAGCGGCACCAGCAGTAGTCCTGGGGCGGATAGCGCCATTCTCCTGCCCCTGGAAGGCGCCAGCAGTAGTCCTGGGGCGGATAGCGCCCTTTTCCTGCCCCTGGAAGGCGCCAGCTGTAATTTTGGGGCGGATAGAGCCCTTTTAATGCCCTTGGACGATGCCAGCAGTAGTCCAGAGGCAGATAGCACCCATTTCCTACCCCTGGACAATGCCAGCAGTAGTCCTGGGGCAGATAGCGCCCTTTTCCTGCTCCTGGACGATGCCAGCAGTAGCCCTGGGGCGGATAGAGCTCTTTTCCTGTTCTTGGACGATGCCACCAGTAGTCCTGGGGCGGATAGCGCTCTTTTCCTGCCCCTGGAATGCGCCAGGAGTAGTCCAGGGGCTGATAGCGCCCTTTACCTGCCCCTGTACAATGCCAGCAGTAGTCCTGGGGCAGATAGCGCCCTTTTCCTGCACCTAGACTGCGCCAGCAATAGTCCTGGGGCGGATAGCGCCCTTTTCCTGTCCTTGATCAATGCCAGCAGTGGTTCTGGGGCGGATAGCGCCCATTTCCTTCCCCTGGATAATGCCAGCAGTAGTCCTGGAGTTTATATCGCCCTTTTCCTGCCCTGGACGGCGCCAGCAGTAGTGTTGGGGCGGATAGCGCCCTTTTCCAGCCCTTGGACAATGCCAGCAGTAGTCCTGGGGCGGATAGCGCCCTACTCCTGCCCCTGGACGGCGCCAGCAGTAGTCCTGGGGCGGATAGCGCCCTTTTCCAGCAATTGGATAATGCCAGCAGTAGTCCTGGGGCGGATAGCGCCCTACTTCTGCCCCTGGACTGCGACAGCAGTAATCCTGGGGTGGATAGAGCCCTTTTCCAGCACTTGGATGACGCCAGCAGTGATCCTGGGGCGGATAGCGCCCCTTTTCCTGCCCCTGGACTGCGCCAGCAGTAGTCCTGGGGCAGATAGCGCCCCTTTTCCTGCCCCTGGACGGCGCCAGCAGTAGTCCTGGGGTCGGAAACCCCCTTTCCAACCCCTGGACAATGCCAGCAGTAGTCATGGGGCGGATAGCACCCTTTTCCTGCCCCTGAACGGCGCCAGCAGCAATCCTGGGGCGGATAGAGCCCCTTTCCTGCCCTTGGATGACGCCAGCAGTGATCCTGGGGCGGATAGCGCCCTTTTCCTGCCCCTGGACGGCGCTAGCATTAGTCCTGGAGCGGATAGCGCCCTTGTCTAGCCCCTGGACAATGCCAGCAGTAGTCCTGGGGTGGAAAACACCCTTTTCCAGTCCTTGGACAATGCCAGCAGAAGTCCTGGGGCGGATAGCACCCTTTTCCTGCCCCTGAACGGCGCCTGCAGTAATCCTGGGGCGGATAGAGCCCTTTTCCTGCCCTTTGATGACGCCAGCAGTAGTCCTGGGGCGGATAGCACCCTTTTCCTTCCCCAGGACGGCACCAGCAGTATTCCTGGGGCGGATAGCGCCCTTTTCCTGCCCCTGGACAATGCCCGAAATAGTCCTGGGGCGGATAACGCTCTTTTACAGCCCCTGGACGGCGCCAACAGTAGACCTGGGGCAGATAGCACCATTGTCCTGCCTTTGGACAATACCAGCAGTAGGCCTGGGGTGGATAGCACCATTTCCCTGTCCCAGAGCGGCACCAGCAGTAGTCCTGGGGCGGATAGCGCTCTTTTCCTGCCCCTGGAAGGCGCCAGCAGTAATTCTGGGGTGGATAGAGCTCTTTTAATGCCCTTGGACGATGCCAGCAATAGTCCAGAGGCAGATATCACCCATTTCCTACCCCTGGACAATGCCAGCAGTGGTCCTGGGGCAGATAGCGCCCTTTTCCTGCTCCTGGACGATGCCAGCAGTAGTACTGCGGCGGATAGAGCTCTTTTCCTGTCCTTGGACGATGCCGCCAGTAGTCCTGGGGCGGATTGTGCTCTTTTCCTTCCCCTGGAATGCGCCAGGAGTAGTCCAGGGGCTGATAGCGCCTTTAACCTGCCCCTGTACAATGCCAGCAGTAGTCCTGGGGCAGATGGCGCCCTTTTCCTACACCTGGACTGCGCCAGCAATAGTCCTGGGGCTGATAGCGCCCTTTTCCTGCCCTTGATCAATGCCAGCAGTAGTTCTGGGGCGGATAGCGCCCTTTTCCTTCCCCTGATAATGTCCTGGGGTTAATATCGCCATTTTCCTGCCCTGGACGGCGCCAGCAGTAGTGCTGGGGCAGATTGCGCCCTTTTCCAGCCCTTGGACAATGCCAGCAGTAGTCCTGGGGAGGATAGCGCCCTACTCCTGCCCCTGGACTTCGCCAGCAGTAATCCTGGGGCGGACTAAGCGGCACCAGCAGTAGTCCTGGGGCAGATAGCGCTTTTTTCCTGCCCCTGGAAGGCGCCAGCAGTAGTCATAGAGCAGATAGCGCCCTTTTCCTGCCCCTGGAAGGCGCCAGCAGTAATTCTGGGGCGGATAGAGCCCTTTTAATGCCCTTGGACTATGCCAGCAATAGTCCAGGGGCAGATAGCACCCATTTTCTACCCCTGGACAATGCCAGCAGTAGTCCTGGGGCAGATAGCGCCCTTTTCCTGCTCCTGGACGATGCCAGCAGTAGTCCTGGGACGGATAGAGCTCTTTTCCTGTCCTTGGACGATGCCACCAGTAGTCCTGGGGCGGATAGCGCTCTTTTCCTGCCCCTGGAATGCGCCAGGAGTAGTCCAGGGGCTGATAGCGCCATTTACCTGCCCCTGTACAATGCCAGCAGTAGTCCTGGGGCGGATAGCGCCCTTTTCCTGCCCTTGATCAATGCCAGCAGTAGTTCTGGGGCGGATAGCGCCCTTTTCCTTCCCCTGGATAATGCCAGCAGTAGTCCTGGGGTTTATATCGCTTTTTTCTTGCCCTGGACGGCGCCAGCAGTAGTGCTAGGGCGGATAGCGCCCTTTTCCAGCCCTTGGACAATGCCAGCAGTAGTCCTGGAGCGGAAAGCGCCATTTTTCTGCCCCTGGACAATGCCAGCAGTTTTCTTGGAGCGGATAGCGCCCTTTTTCTGCCCCTGGACAATGCCAGCAGTAGTCCTGGGCGGATAGCACGATTTTCCTGCCCCTGGACAGCGCCAGCAGTAGTCTTGGGGCAGATAGCGCCCTTTTTTTGCCCCTAGACGGCGCCAGCAGTAGTAGTCCTGGGACGGATAGCGCCCTTTTCTAGCCCCTGGACAATGCCATCATTAGTCCCATTTTCTGCCACTAGGTGGCACCAGCAGTAGCGTCATAGTACCATTTTCTACCACTAGATGGCACTAGCAGTAGTGTCATAGTACCATTTTCTGCCACTAGATGGCACCAGCAGTAACGTCATAGTACCATTTTCTGCCACTAGATGGCACCAGCAGTAGCGTCATAGTACCATTTTCTGCCACTAGATGGCACCAGCAGTAACGTCATAGTACCATTTTCTGCCACTAGATGGCACCAGCAGTAGTGTCATAGTACCATTTTCTGCCACTAGATGGCACCAGCAGTAGCGTCATAGTACCATTCTCTGCCACTAGATGGCAACAGAAATACGATCATAGTACCATTTTCTGCCACTAGCAGTAACTTCATAGTTGTATTTTCTGGCCATAGATGGCACTAGTAGTAATATTGCTTTTGATAGTGTCATTTTCTGCGACTAGATGGCACCAGCAGTAGCGTCATAGTACCATTTTCTGCCACTAGATGGCACCAGCAGTAGCGTCATAGTACCATTTTCTGCCACTAGATGGCACCAGCAGTTGTGATATAGTGCCATTTTCTGCCACTAGATGGCACTAGCAGTAACTTCATAGTTGTATTTTCTGACCATAGATGGCACTAGTAGTAATACTGCTTTTGATAGTGTCATTTTCTGCCCCTAGATGGCACCAACCGTAATTTTATAGTTGTATACCATAGATGGCGGTAGTTGTGATATTGCTCTTTTTTTGTAGTGTCATTTTCTACCCCTAGATGGCATCAGCAGATTACATCTGCCCCAAGATGTCACTAGCAGTAATATTTATGTTGATAGTTTAATTTTCTGCCCCTAGATGGCACTAACAGTAATTTCATAGTACCATTTTCTGACCAGAGGTAGCACTAGCATTAATATTTGTTTTTATAGTGTCATTTTCTGCCCCCTAGATGGCAACAACAGTGATCTCATAGTGCCATTTTCTGCGTTTATCATTGGCATGCTGATAGTGCTTTTTATCGCCATTGGATGTCACCATGAGTAATTTAATGGTGCCATTTTCTGTCCATAAATGGCATTGGCAGTAATATTGCTGCCCTTAGATGTCATTAGTGGTTTATATGGTCATCGCCTTAGAATTCTTCCTAAATATGGATGTATAATTCTTTGATATTTTCATAGTCAAATCTGAAATGTTGATTGTGTTGCCTGTATACTTATTCCAGTTTGAGTGCTTCGTTATACTGTATAATTTTTTCTGAGAGAAAGATATAGAGAGAGAGGAAGGCAGAAGGAAGGAAAAAGGGGCAAGTTTGAAGAGAAGGAAGGACACGCGGAATGTCAGGAGAGGGGCAGATAGATATTTAGTTAGTTTAGTTCATTTATTATGCACCCCATACCCATCTTGTGGGCGGTAGTTGAAGAATAGAATTTATATTTATGCGATCCATCTTCTGTACCATGTTACTGGGTTCGTAGAATTACACGAAGCCTCCAAGCATTACGTAAGTAATCGAGAAATATAACATATGTACCCACTAGTGATGCAAATGTAAAACAACACAAAACATATTTTTAGTCTTGAAATAATGTCATTTCATAACAAAATTTGATGGAATTAGGCAGGCGAGTCCATAGGAAGTGGAGGATCAAAGCAAACACTCCGCACAACATCTTGGACAAGTCGCTCCACAACATTGTCGCCTAGATCGTTGACTGCCTATGACATAACTTTCCACATTTCAATTTCAATTTCAATTCCACATTTCCGTCTAATTACATTATGAAATGTAAAAATTTGCTTTTTTAATGTTTTACATTCAGCACTAACATTATAGTGGGTAAATATGTTACATTGTGTCATTACTTACGTAATGCTAGGAGGCTTTGGGTAGCTTTGGATGACACCTTCACTATCATCTTCACCAGCATGGCACGGTGCCAAGCTTGGTGCCATAAGCACTTTCTTCTGTTGTTATTTTTGACAGATGGTCCTTTATCATGGCTAGTTCTTGGTGCCCTGGTGGGAGACCCAGAACCTGTCCTTGGTACCCAGGTGATTGACAAAATGTCATCTTTAGCTGGTACCAAGGTTGAGGTGGAGTACACAGCAGCAGTACTAGAATACCAGCCATACAGCAGTTGGGTGTCAGGTGGACTCGCCATACTACAGGAGAATGCCCACATCTACTTGGAGTACGCTGCCCGAGCCAGAGACCAGGTGAGGGCGGTTCATCTAATTACCCAAGGCTACCCAAAGCTTCCTAGCATTATGTAAGTACTGTAATGAAGAAATGTGATATATTTGTTATAATGTTGGCACTGAATGTAGAACATGGAAAAAACATTTTTACTCAAATAATACTTTATGGCAAAATTAGATGAAATAAAGTGGCTGGTTGACGCCGTAAGTCGACGATCCCAGCGACAGTAATGTGGAGCGACTTGTCTAAGATATATTGTTGCCTAGATGTTATATTAGGTTAGGTTAGGTACAGGAAGCTGATATGCCAGAACTTTCCAGGCAACAATATATCTTGCATAAGTCACCTGCCAGTCCTTGGATCAGACTTGGGCTCAGACTTGCAAATTAACGACATTGTAGCTCTGATTGTCGACTTCCTATGGTGTCACCTGCCACTTTGTTTCATCTAATTTTGCCATAAAATGATATTATTTCAGAGTAAAAATAGTTTTTTTTTTTATGTTCCACATTCAGCACCAACATTATAGTAAGTAAAAATATCATATATTTTTTTTACTGAAGCTGTAAATGCCAAAACTGCTGAATCTAGTTATAGAAAATCATAAAGACAAATGGAGGGGGACCTTTAACAAGCCACTAGCTTCCTGTCCTTGTCAAGACCACTTGTGAGGTTGTGGTCCTCGGGTAAATTCAGGTAAATAAATGTAAACATATCCGTCATAATTGAGAAAAGATGTACAGGTTTCGTTAAGTGATTGCATAAAAAGCTTTATTACTGCTGGCCCTGATTGTCTTATGGCCTATCAACCAATCATAACAGCTGCCTGCAAATGCCTTGGTTGTTTTGCAGGCAACAAATATCCATTCCCCATATAAAATTACAAAACAAATTCTTATGTAATGCATCTCTTTACAATCAAAAATTTTGTTTTAATATATTTAACTGTACTTTAATGCAATATACTGCATTACCTAATGTAGTGTACTGTTGTACTGTACTTGGCAATACTGTACAGTATTTGTACTGCAGTATAATACATTGTTAATGTAAAGTTATAACAATGTATTATACTGCAATTTATTTTTGTAAAGCATTACATTGATTTGTACACATCAATCATTTAATAACACTTTGACTACTGAAAATGTTCTACAATAAATGGTCGGTAGAGTGTCGCCCTTGTTTTTGTCCATCATAAATGGACTTGAAAATGATTTGTCAATGCATGATTTGCCACCTCATTTGACTACTTTACTGTAAACTAAAGAACCATTATTCAGATTATTCTATCATTGTTTCTGCCAATGTACCATAGTATGTACAGTTGAACCATAATGTGTACAGTACCACTATACTGTACTGTAATGTGTACCATTGAATTGTAACATAACATTGTACCATTGAACAGGGAGCTGACATTATAGTGTTTCCTGAGTATGGCCTGACCAGCACACATGTTGCTGGTGGCGATATTATCACTCTGAGTCAATTGGTTTCTGACCCAGCTGACCATATTGTTCCCTGTGACTTCCCGGATTATAATTACACTATGGTACGGTTATTTTTATTTTTTTTTTAATTTTAAGACAAACACAAATACTGTATTGCTGTTCTGTGTGTCAATTTAAGTAAATGAATTTTAAATTACTCAAAATGTTATATCACAATAAATCTGTTCTTCCAAAAATATATTGGCCTAGGTGAGGTTAGTTCAGGATTTTGCCTTTATTGTTTTAAATTTTTACACATTTCATCTGGATGAGTGATTTCAAAATACATGTCATACTTTAATGTGACAAACATACAAAGAGTTAGGATAGATTTTTGTCCTGATTAAAAATAATTGGATTAATCTTCAGTATTTTATTTTCCATGACATCTGTGGCAATATTAAGCAAGGAGCTTTGGGCTAATAACTTTCCATGGGCCATCAGTCATTAAGCCTAACAAACATAATGATTTAAAAGTGCCCGACTAAAGTTAACAGTGGTTATAGACTCTAGATTCTAGAAAATATGTCCTGATGAACTAGCTAGTCCACATGAACTAGTTAGTTCATGATCTCTTACTAGGATATACAAAACCTATTATTTGTAGCATTATGGACAATGTTTAGGGTTTACCCCTGAACTGTGCAGCTATTTAAAAGTACAGTACTGCATCAAGGTGGACATGGCTAAAAATAGTTAACAAATCAAATGGGAAAATCACAGTAACTGGAGCACTGGAATAATTACATATAGCAATTGGATCAATCTGAAGGGTTAAGTATACTTATAGGTTGGTCAGTAAGTATGTGCCTCACTCTAAATTATCCTCCAGAAGTTGATAGATCATATGGCCAGCATTAAATAAAATTCATTCGAGTGCTGACGTGTTTGTACAATGAAATCAAAATAATATGATACAGTACATCCATGAGAAGATATTATTGCAATATAGTGGAATTACAGTATTCTTGTATCTCTGGTCACCACAGATACATGTACAGTATTACCCACAAGATCACAGTGAGCTTAAACAACACTATCCAAAGTTCTATACTGAACCTAAAAGGAGTTTGAAAGGTACCTAGTTGGTACCCAAATCCAATTTTTACATGTTCCTGTCAACTCTCTGCCATATGTAGTGAAGTTCTCTACCAAATGTCATCAATTTTTTTTTTCTGATGTGTGTTTGTATAGGTGATGAGGGAGCTCAGCTGTGGTGCCCGGGAGTTGGGAATGTACTTTGTAGTGAACCTCATCGAGCAAGAACAATGCATGGACACCCCTACTAACTCTCAGGCTATCCCAACATCCTCCACCCAACCCAAGACGTCTCAAGAACAATTATCATCCCACCCCACCATTGAAGGTAAAGAGGTACAGAGACAAGCTAAGCAGTGTCCAAGCTCCGGATACATCTTGTACAATGCCCAGGTTGTGTTCGATCGTGCAGGCGCAGTTGTGGCAAGGTCAGTTTTGTCATTTTTTTTCTCGTAAATAATTTACATCAAATTCTGCTATGAATCAATATTTGGTTGATGATTTAGCATTCGTGACATTATTATACAGTATTTGTTTTCATTTCAACAAATCACTTGTTAGTTATTTGATTGTTGCAAGCAAGAACTACTCTATTTTATTTTTCATCATTACTGTACTAATTTATTGTAATTATTAATATTTTTATTATCAGTAGCAGTATTAATACTAACAGTAGTCATTGAATTACTATTCTCCCTTTAAACTAATCAAATAGTTTCTCCAACGTGTACCTCATATGAGATTATAAATGCTTAAATATGTTCTTGTTACGTGCAAAAATTTGTAAATAGATTGAAATTTTGTTGATTATTATTACCTCAGTGTTTATAAAAGCAGTCGGTAACATATATCTAGCATAAAATACTTTAAAGTGCTTTAATCCCCATTTCATGATTTTAAACACCTTTTCATTATGCCTTTCAGTGAGGCTGTTGACAGGCTGATAGGCCATTAGTGGTGTATTTACGTTACATCAAATAAATTTGAGTTCCTTATGAGAAGCACAGGATCTGCTGAGCCAACTTTGTCATAACTTTGTTCACTGTGATATGATCCCTCCCTCATTTGCATGAACCCTTACACTGCTCTCATAATACAGATGGCTTCATTCTCGGCTTGCAATCTGGTATCCCAGCTTTAATTCCCAGGTGGGAAAGAAATAGTTGGGCTCATTTCATTTCAACTAATGCCTCTGCTCACCTAGCAATAAATAGATACCCGAGAGTTAGACGACTGTTGTGGGGTTTCATCTTGTGGAGGGTCAGTAGTTTGACCTTGGGGGGAGGATCTCGATGCAATCCTAAAATATATATATATATACAGGCTTCCTGTCCCCAACAAAATGAATTATTGTACAGTATGTGATTTTCTCATTTGATTTGTTAGTGAACCTCATCGAGCAAGTACAAATGCATGGACACCCCTACTAATTCTCAGTCTATCCCAATATCCTCCACCCAATTCAAAGTGCAACATTTTGTTTACATGTACACCTTGATATTGTTGTACCTTTAAAAAGCTGCACCATTTAGAAGTTAAACCCAAGTGGAATGACAGTGTCAATAATCTTTATTTACCATGGGTAATCCATACTTACCAGGGGTAATCCATATTTGCAAGGGGTAGTCCACATTTGCCAGGGGTAGTCCATATTTACCATGGTAATCCACATTTGTCAAGGGTAATCCATATTTACTATGAATAATCCATATTTACCCTGGATAATCCATATGTGCCATGGGTAATTCACATATGCCAAGGGTAATCTGTATTTGCCAGGGGAAATTCATATTTGCTATGGGTAATTCATATTGGCCAAGGGTAATCCACATTTGCCATGGGTAATCCACTTTTGCCATGGGTAATCCACTTTTGCTAGGGGTAATTAACTTTTTTCCATGGATAATCCACTTTTGAGGTTCTTAATGCAAATTGTATTTTTGGTTCTTCACTGAGATAATAAATGATAACAAGAACATTGATGTCATTAAAGAACACCAATATATATGATGAGAAAATATTAAGGTCATATGATAGGATGAAACAAGCATCACCTCAAGCACACGCTCTACCATGTGACTGGGAATTCCAAGGATGCAGGATCAGTCCCATTGCATAGCCTTAATATTTTCTCATAGACTTATGACATATTGTGATGTCATTGCTGAGACACTTTCCTGCAGGTATCGTAAGAAGCACTTATTTCTCGAGCCGGAGTTCACTCCAGGGATGGAGGACGATACTTCTGCCATCTTTACTACTGACTTTGGTGTCACTTTCACCCTTCAGGTACTGACTATGGCCTCACTTTCACCCTTCAGGTACTGACTATGGCCTCACCTTCACCCTCAGGTACTGACTATGGCCTCACCTTCACTCTTCAGGTACTGACTATGGCCTCACCTTCACCCTTCAGGTACTGACTATGGCCTCACCTTCACTCTTCAGGTACTGACTATGGCCTCACCTTCACTCTTCAGGTACTGACTATGGCCTCACCTTCACCCTTCAGGTACTGACTATGGCCTCACCTTCACTCTTCAGGTACTGACTATGGCCTCACCTTCACCCTTCAGGTACTGACTATGGCCTCACTTTCACCCTTCAGGTACTGACTATGGCCTCACCTTCACCCTCAGGTACTGACTATGGCCTCACCTTCACTCTTCAGGTACTGACTATGGCCTTACCTTCACCCTTCAGGTACTGACTATGGCCTCACCTTCACCCTTCAGGTACTGACTATGGCCTCACCTTCACCCTTCAGGTACTGACTATGGCCTCACCTTCACCCTTCAGGTACTATGGCCTCACCTTCACCCTTCAGGTACTATGGCCTCACCTTCACCCTTCAGGTACTGATTACATTATTACCTATGGGCACCTCTAATAATCAAGCTTGACTTGATCTATATAGAGCAAAGATATTCAGTGGGTGAGTGGGAAATAAATATAAAAGTAGTTGAAGAATATCTGAAGGAGAGGGTGGAATGGCTGCGTTCTTCAGTAGAGTTGGTACTTTTGACAAGTGTAGAAATATGGTTGATGGGGCTGGCTTCTTTGTTGGATGTGAAGGATTGAACTGTTGGCAAAGATTCTCTTGTGCTGGAGTAGTTGCTAATCATATATTATACTATTTAAAACTGATTAAAAATTGTGATAAAAAATTCAATGTAATATTTTAAATGAATTTCCAATTAACCTTATTATTAATTCAATTTGATAATTACATTACCTTCCAGATTCTTGTCCTCATATCCCTTTCCGGTGCTGTATAGTCATGCTGAAATAGTGCTTTTTCTTGCTAATTAATTAAATTTGGTGTATTCCTAATTTTTCCAGATTAAAATGCAACGTTATGATATTGTTATCTTTTGGAAATTAATTGATATATATGTGTGTGTGTGTGTGTGTGTGTATGTGTGTGTGTGTGTGTGTGTGTGTGTGTGTGTGTGTGTGTGTGTGTATGTATGTATGTATGTATGTATGTATGTATGTATGTATGTATGTATGTATATATATATATATATATATATATATATATGACAGTGTCAGACCATGGAGGAAAATTGAAACAGGAATTTCCTTAAGTACTTTCGTATATTAATACATCTTCAGAAGGAGACTCCTTCTGAAGATGTATTAATCCCCTCAGGCATTTTCTAAATCTTACTTCAGATGTGTTCTAAACCTTGCCCTAAATCCTCCAGATATGCTTCGACATCATGTACAAGTCTCCAGGACTATGTAACATGGAGGCTGACGGATTGAGAGATGTTGCTATGAGCACCGCTTGGATTGACGAGTTGCCTTTCTTGACAGGTTTGTATAGTGATGCTGTGCATGGATGTTCTATGTCTACCTCTGTTTTTTTGCTTGTTTGTTTCTGACTTACTCACTCATTCTCACTCTCATTCACACTCTCACTCTCACTCTCTCTCTCTCTCTCTCTCTCTCTCTCTCTCTCTCTCTCTCTCTCTCTCTCTCTCTCTCTCTCTCTCTCTCCTTCTCTCTCTCCTTCTCTCTCCTTCTCTCTCTCCTTCTCTCTCCTTCGCTCTCTCTCCTTCTCTCTCCTTCGCTCTCTCTCTCTCTCCTTCTCTCTCTCTCCCCCCCATACTCATGGTCACTAGAGTACTGTTATTGTATCTAGTTTTTCTGTCAATGAGTCCCCCCTCCTCCCACCTACCCCCGGGCAGATATGGGCAATGGACATTGACACAACATATTCAACATTCATTCAATGTTAAATATGTTGATTAAATGCTACTTGAACATGTTTGCTCCTCCCTTCCCCCCTTGGGAAACTTTGGGCAAATTGAGATTGGGCAAATGACATAATGTAACAATGAATCAATTTTGATAGTGTTGATTCAACATTAATTTAACATTGACTCAACATTACTTGAATGTGGTTTGCTCCCTTCCCCACTGAATAATGCATGTCCCTCTCCTCCCCGTTCCCCCCCACCCCCACCCCATGGCAAATCTAGGGAAATGATGTTGATCTGACATTGTCCAATGTTAATTAAATGCTGCTAGCATGTTTTGCTCACTGATCTGTGACCAAATATCCAAATGTAACATTAATTCAACATTGAAGCAACAATGTTCTTAAATAATGTGGGAGCTAGCAAGTTAGCCAGGTTAAATCAAAACAAATAAATTGATACATAAACTCAAACCTAACATACATAAACTCAGACCTAACCAACAGCGGTTTCTCAGCCCCTCAGATCTTCAGTGGTTGGAGCCGGGGTCAAGGAGTAAACCTGCTTGTGGCTAACTACCATGACGCTCCTACAGGCAAATTAGGCTCCGGTATCTTTAATGGAGGATCGTCGCTAGAGTCCCTCTACACTTACGACCACCTGGGAGAGACAACCTTGCTTGTGGGATCCGTCTTGACCCTTGGGACACAATGCAAGGGCCATCAATCAATGATAAATTCGATTACTGGTCACAATCTGGAATTTAAGGGTGGAAACTTTAAGACTCCAAAGAAGGACATTGATGAAGTAGGAGGTTCTAAGGACCCCAAAGGAGTCCCAGAGAAGCCTATGAAGCCACAATCATACAGAGGCAATACAACCCTTGGTGATATCCTTACAAGGTTTAGTGATAGTGCATCTTGGCAAATGAAGACCAAAAATGACTTCTTTTTTCTTCATGAAAATCTGGATCTCTATAATCACATCGTACTGGAAAGGTCAGAGAAAAACATGAACTTCACCAAGACCCTTTGTTACAATGGGAGTTTCTGCTGTACAGTGACATACAGTTATGCACACAAAGGCACAAAAGAAGGTTTGTACATGCTCTTGGCATACAATGGTTTGGTAACCAAAGGAAATGGAGTCTATGTTATGTATATCCAAGTATGCGCTGTTGTTTACTGTCTAAATGAAAACATCACTAGCTGTGCAAGCCTAAATGATGAGGAAGTGAACTTAACCAGTGAAGAAACAAATCAAACTGATGAGAAAATGACCCTAACCAACGGAGAAGCTAACCTAACTAGCGAAGAAGCGACCCTAACTAGTGAAGAAGCAACTCTAACAAATGAGGAAACACTAGTAACCTTCTGGCCCTATGAGCTGTATGGGGTATTCAATACCCCTTATGTTTATCCCTCAGTCTTCACCCAGCAGCTAACCCTAGCCAATGATGCCCTCTGGGAGTTCTCCAACACAGGTAGGAATGAGATAATGAATGAAAGCTGCAGCTTTATAGATAATCTTCCAGAGGAAAATGTATGCTGCATATCAATGCATGACACTCTTGCCTTGGACTTGCTATCACTGACACTGTTTGGTCGCTGGTACAGCCAAGATCCTGATGTATTAATGACAATACTATAGCAAATTAAATGGGCTATGTAACATTTTAAACCGAAAATAGTTTTGATTAAAGAGAAATAAAATATATAAAGAAATACATTAAAAATTTATTGACCCTAATAAATTTCTAGAGGTTGATAAGTCTTAGGGTCCACACCAAAATCAAATCACATCAGTATACACACACACAAGATCTTCCCATTTTCTAATGTGGTATACAGTAATTCCATTACACATGAGCGTAAGACTCACAAAAACAATATATCTTTATCCCTTAAAATATGTACATGTGTATCCCCCCTTAACTGATCCTCTTACCTAATGCGTCCCATTTTTTTTACTGAATCGACTAATTTGTTAAAAATGCTGCATTTTTTTTTTAATACTTTGTAATAATAATAGATTCTATGCATCGCAAATTTATAACCAAATTTATTAGACAAATTTTAGGCAAATTTATTTGCCAATTTTAAGCAAATATATTTGCAAATTTATTAAAAAACTATAAGCAGATTCATTTGTAAATATATAAGTAAGTTTATTATTAAATTTATATGCACATTTATAAGCCAGTTTTATAAATATCGATTATTAACTTCTAAACTAATAAAGTAAGATTGTATAGTACTCACCTATGGCAGGGTCTGTTTACAGGCATCAGCTGACCATTCCCAGGATATGACCCCACAACAGTTGCCTAACTCCTGGGTACCTGTTTACTGCTAGGCAAACAAAAGCATCATGTGAAAATAAATTTGCACATTAGTTTGTCATACTGAGGGAACTGAACCCAAAGCCCTTCGGCTGTGATGTACAGGATCCTACCCAGGGTTCAAGCCCAGGTCATTTATTTGCTTTTATTCCCCTTACCCTGGCAACTATTATTATGGTGAGACCTGGCAGAGCTATTGACCAAACATACAAATCACCCAGCCAGATGAGGCAAACCTGTAAATAGCTTAATGATTGACAATAGCAGCTTAGCATCAAAACTGATACTTCAACTCCATGTTATTAACCCTGAACTGTACAGTTGTTTAAAAGTACTACATCAAGATGCATATCGTTAAAAATAGTTAACAAATTAAGTGAGAGAAATCACATCTGGCGATCAGTGTAAGGGTTAATGTCAGTAGCAGCCAAAGGTTAAATTTCAAGAATATCTATTGACTTACGTTTCAATGGAATGTCATGAATCTACATTTTGATTGTAAGACTTTGGGAACTAGGTTTACTCTGGTTTTGGGACCTAAGGCTATATCCAGGCTTTATCCTTGGGGATCACATGGGGGGTTCATCCATAATTATAATAATCAAATAATTTTAATTGGTATAAACTTAACAAAGAACAGCTAATAAATGTCTCCATAAGTACAGAAACTGAAACATTAAAAAGTAAATTGAGAAATGGATACATGTCATACACTCACATACCCCACTACAGTAGTGGGTACATGTCATACACTCACATACTCCACTACAGTACTGTAGTGGGTACATGTCATACACTCACATACTCCACTACAGTAGTGGGTACATGTCATACACTCACATACCCCACTACAGTAGTGGGTACATGTCATACACTCACATACCCCACTACAGTAGTGGGTACATGTCATACACTCACATACCCCACTACAGTAGTGGGTACATGTCATACACTCACATACCCCACTACAGTATTTCCATCACTTTTCACCCATGTTATTGTGACATTTCTACATTATTCCTCTTCTTGTGCAAAATTAAAGAGTACCTTGGAAACATAAATAAATACACTAGCCAACAAGTTTGCAATTTTATTTCATTTAAACATAAATCTATTTTTTATTTACATATCTTAATTATCATACTCAATTGTTGTAATAATATAGACTCCTTGCCATAACAAATTACCCAAAGACTATACCTATCATCTACTCACTAGCACGACACAAACTAACAGTCAAGACTAGCCAATGTAGGCTCACTAGAAAAGCTCTGCTCTAGATAAGGACTATGAAGAACAGTCACATATCTGGACACTAACTAGACACTACTAGGACAGAGAATAACAGATTCAATCAAAACACTCTGTTAATCACTTCCTGTCTCACATACGTATTTAAAAAAAAAAATAATCCAGCATTGAATGTAATGAAATCTCTTTCTGGTAGGCCCCCTCTGAGGCATACCAGAAAGGCCACAGAGGAAGAACTCCCAGAAGAGATATAACAAAAGTTGCAAAATAAACAGTGTGCCAAAGAGAATGCAGTAATCAAAGTTAACATAATGATCACACAAATCCAAAAATTCATTATATATACGAAACTGTAAAAATCTAGATCTAGGCGGTGCAAAGCTAGAATTTTGACACATGTACCTCATTTTACATACTCGTCAGGTCTCTCTCAATGGAAGAAACAAGCAGTACTCAAGTGTGTTTCATCTGAATTATATTAAAAACATTACAAGTAATCCGACGAGATACAATGTTTATGTTCTCACCCCACTCTTCCCCCCTCCTCCCTTCCCTAAACAAAATCTACAAGAACTTTTATAATACAAAAGTGTGCAAAAAAGCAGTGCATGGAAATGATAATTGTGCAATATCAGCCCAAATATATATAAAAACACTAAATGTTACATAAAAAAAAAATCACAGCTACAAATGTCATCCAGTATTGGGATGTGCAGTTTTAACGTAACAAATGCCTACTTAATATATATTTTTTAATGTGCATCTTCAAAGCATGTTTTATAATAGGCACACACACATGCAGTTTGAAAATTTTATATGGTTTTTCCGCTTAAACTTTGCACAGCAAGAGAATTGTAAACTACCAAATAATATAAATAATTATTCCATATAGAAAACCTGAAGTTACATTAATTACCTTTGTAAATTAAGGAATTATTAGTGTTGAAATTTCCTATGATAAATAATTTAATGGTACTGGAAACTATCCAATAATTTTGAAGTTAAGAATTTTATAGAAATGTAATAGTAAATAGAAATATATGCTTGATGTAGAATCTATATTTTTAGCTTCCAAAGTGTCAATAATTTCCTGCAGAATTTACTGCATCATTTTCAAAACATTATTCTCCAATTACTACTATTATCATTATTATTCCTATATCAGTGCTTTCCTTCTTGGATTGCTTATGACTTTTTCTATTAGCCAAGTGTATAAAACATGCTCAAGTAATATTTTCAATGTTGGATCAATGGTATCATTTTTGATTCGTTGGTACATCAAAGTCATTTGCCCAGATTTGTTCAGGGATGGAGAGGTCTAGTTTGCCATCTCACCAATGTATAGAATGTATTAATGTACTCATAGTACAGTAACTATTTCTTTTGTGCAATCTAATTATCCAGTACATGAAAGTAACAGTTGCTACATCTGACAAGGACACCCCTGAGCAAATCTGGGAAAACGACATTGATGAAATAATGAATCAACGTTGATAACATTGATCCAAAGTTTATTAAATGCAACTTAAACATGTTTTGCCCACTATTACCTACATGCAGGATTTAAACAAAAATGCACCAAAAGTTTCATATATACAATCTACTTACATGGAGATGGTTTGCAATTAAAATGTATTTATGTGTGTGTGTGTGTGTGTGTGTAATTACCTAAGTGTAGTTACAGGATGAGAGCTACGTTCCTGGTGTCCTGTCTTCCCAGCACTCTTTGTCATATAATACTTTGAAACTACTGACGGTTTTGGCCTCCAACACCTTCTCACTTAACTTGTTCCAACCATCTACCACTCTGTGAAAGTGATTTTTCTTATATTTCTATGTGTGTGTTGTGTGTGTGTGTGTAATTACCTAAGTGTAGTTACAGGATGAGAGCTAAGCTCGTGGTGTCCCATCTTCCCTGTACTCTTTGTCGTATAACACTTGTGTGTGTGTGTGTGTTTGTTTTAGAAGAGAATGCCCATGTGCATTTGTGGGGACCTACATGATTCTCTTGAATGCTAGTTTTTCAATTCTCAATGGTTATTAGTCCAACAATTCAAATGAAGAGTTTATGTATGTGTATGTATACAATACAGTATATATGAACACATACAATATAAAATATATTTTACACTGTGAATCCCTAACTTACGAAGAGAATACGTTTAGAAAAGTTGTTCATGAGGTAGATACTTGTAACCACCAAAAATCTAAATTTTTGAAGAGTTAAGAGCACTAATTACTAAACAAAGAGGCAGTAGAATGTGATGATGCATGAGTGGAAGTTATTGGTGGGTCATCTTCAGCATCATTGGCTGCTGTAAATTGCTAACATACGAGTCTTTTTTTCCCACGATTATTTGGACTACGATTTTTGCCCGAAAAGTTTTGCGTAATAGTGGTTTCATGAGTATGTGTAACTCCTGTCCTTACAATTGTACATTACTCTTGTATTCTTTGTACACACATTCTTTTGAATAAACATTGACTGATTAATTTATTGATAATGCAAATGCACCTGCAAAACTGATTCTGAATAAGACTGAAGGAGATAATATTCATACCCTACTTTTTGCATGCTCTATGAAAGAAGCTTACTGTAGGAAATTTTCAGTTCAAACTGTTATATGATCAGTATCTATCAAGAGGACTAAATTCTGCAGAGATTTTAATATCATCCCCATTCTTTGCATTTGTTTTTGTTCTCCCTTCTCAGAGCACTTACCCAGTGGGCAGCATTGGTTGTATGTGACTGACATTACATAGTAAACAATATGTAACATCTGTCACTTTCAACCAAAACAGTGCCCACTGGGTAATTATCTGAAGCTTAACTTCTAGGGTAATTAAGTTGCCTTTTCATTGACACTTTGCATCACCAACACTTTTCCACTTCTTACCAGTCATTACAGTATTAACAGTATTTATGTTATAATAAAATACTGACATAGTCTATAGAATTCATAGTAGAATAGCACTGGGCATAAGAATAATGCTGACGGGGCAAAATGGATCGGCAGCATAGCATTGATGAATGTTTAGAGATAAAAGTAGCACCCCACAATGGCCATGAGTATGTAAATGTATTACAGTGGATGACAGAGCAAGCAGTATCAACGAATTGAGATGCAAAATCA